GATGGAGATGAAGAGGAGGATGGAGATGGAGATGAAGAGGAGGATGGAGATGAAGAGGAGGATGGAGATGGAGATGAAGAGGAGGATGGAGATGGAGATGACCCTAACACTAAACAAAGCACTGTGAAGGTTTCATGTTGGGGTTCTGTTTGATATCATTTCTGACTGTTTTCTGATTTTCTGCTCATTAAACACTCATTTAATTAATCAGCAGATGAATCCAGAATGAAAACAATCAAACAGGAGTTCTGGATGAAGCAGCTGTAAGTCCTGCTGCCACATTCATGCACCGGTAATAAAAATAAAATCAAATTAAAGTTCGTTTCACTATTTCAGTGTGTTTTAATGTTTTGTTGTTAATCAAACTAAGCAGCAGTTATCCTACTTTAACATCAGGAGCATTTTAAAAGCTGCCACCAGAGTACTTTTACTTCATGGTATCAGTAGTTTTACTGGAGTAAAGCGACCTGAACACGTCCTCGGACTGAACCAGAACCACCAGAACTTTAACACACTGAGCTGTGGGCAGAGTGACGACAGTTTAATGTTTTATGTATGAAGGTAGAAACGTGAACGTCATGCTGAGAACAACACGGTGCATCAAGCAGCACGGCCGAGCATCACAGTGGTTCTGCTGCCGACCCGGTCCGTCCCTCTGCTGCCGGCCCGGAGGCAGCGTCACTAAACAGGAAGCAGCCTGGTGGTCCAGAGGAAGCTGCTCCAGGCTCTGCAGTGACTTCCTCTGTTTCAAGGCGTCGGACATCCACAGACTTCACCGCCTGGTAGAAGCTACATGAAGCCCAGATGAGCCAGACCCACTGAGAGCAGCAGGAAGACGGTCTGAGCACCGGACCGGAGCCGAGGCCGGCCGGACCGGGCTGCGATGGGCCGGGTGAAGATGTACGGATGGTTCTGGAGACAGAACAGATGAAGAATTATGATCACAGCCGTCCTCAGATGGAGTCACACCCTCACAGTAAAGGAGGAAAAATAAAACCATCAAACCAGCCTGATGGGACCTGGTGGACCAACATCTACCTGAACAACCCTCTGAGCCAATCACTGCCATCATCAGGTGTTTCTGTAACTCTCAGTCAGACTTCTCACCTGTTGACAGGTGTTCTGGCCCACTGCTCATCAGCGAAGGCCTCTCATTGGTCCACTACAGTTTTATTTTTTTAAATTATTCTTTTCAACCACAATCCAAAAGCAACGTCTTATTTCACTAAATTATAATTTAGAAAATTTTTATTTATTATTACTTTGTTCAGTTTCCAGTTATTTGAGTGACTGTTGTGTATTTTGTCTTTTCTTTAATGGAAGTTGATGAATAAATCTGAGGACGACTGAACCTGTAATTTATCTAAACGTGCAGAATATTTTCCTCTAGTTTGATTTAAAACTCAAGACAGTCCACATTCTGCACATTTACAGATTCATCACTGGATTCTTGAGGTACATCAGGACACATCTGCATGCCTTAATATAAAAAACACATTATTGTTCTTATTTTGTACATGACAGCAGCTCTTCTCTTCAGTCTGGTTTAGCTCCTGTCTCTTTACTTTCTCTTACATTCAACGAGATTTCAGAAAAATAAATTAAAAACTGGTCCTTTCTACTCTGTCACATTAATCCTGTTTAAGATGCAGATTTGGCACAAAAATAAAATAACAAGCTGATAAAATGCAACGCACATTTACTGAACTACAACCTTCCAACAAGCTGTTGTATGTTTATGAGTAGCTCCATAAATAGTGATTATTTCCTCTAAACTTCTCACATATTTCCATAAATATTCCACTGATCCAAAATCTCGGCAAAAAATTTAAGATTAGACCAAAAAATGAAACCCATTTGTGCGTCTGAGCTTCATTCTTTCTTCTGTCCCTGAATATAAAACTGGATTTAAGGTAGTTTAAAGCTGCTGCTGCTGCTTCACTGTTAATAAAGTGATAACATATATACTTTTACTGCAGTAGGACACCTTCCTGCTGTGTGCTTTTATTGTGGTAGGACTGTTCATACGTGTACTGCAGTATTTCCACGTCACTGTGTGCTTCTGCTTCTTTCTGATTCATTTTACAATCAGGTGTTTTATTATTAATTAAACTGTTCAAAGTTTCTACAAAAACTGCGTCAGGATTCATAATTTATTATTTTACAATAATTTAGAGATCTGAGCTGCTGGTTGGAGAAGAGCAGCCCTTTAGAAGTTGTTTTAAATTGATGATATGATGTTTTGTTGGAGATTTAACAACCAAACACTTGACATAATTAACTGATTAATTAATTAACCCATTGATCAGCATTATGACGAACGTTTAGAGCTCCTGAGACGACATTTGTCACCTCGTAGGAACGAGTGAGACGGAGCCTCACCGTCGGCGGGCAGATGAGTCCGATGGGATCAGAGAAGCTGCTCACGATCATCTTCCCTCCTTCAGGCTGAAACTGTGAGACGAGCAAAACATTAATGAACTTTGCTCTTCAGTGGATTCATTAAAAAGTCACAATCAAGCTGTTTGTGAGCTGGAGCACGCCGGCGGCTCACCATGTTGTTCCAGAGGCCCTTGGCCAGCTCCTCGTGGCCCTTCATGGTGAAGTGGAAGCAGTCGTGAGTGAAGAAGGTCATATCGATCCTCCCGCTCTGCTCGCACACACACAAAGCACATCGACCGGTTAGAGTCTCCGGCAGGGATCCTAATGATCCAGCCGGGCTGCCTCCAGACGGATGAGTTACCGGGAGGCGAGGAGGGTCGGCGTGCTTCAGGAAGGGCTGCAGGACCACGGCGAAGTCGTCCCTGAAGAAGCGGTCGCTGTGCAGCAGCTGCTCCAGCCTCTTCTGTGGAGGGAGAGCAGCTCATGTGATTCACAACAGATTACACAGAGAGAGACTTGAATGAACGACAGAGGCAGAAGAGCATCGAGGAAACGTCGAGTTCTGCCTCCAGTGGGCTCAGATTGTAGTTTTTACCCCAAACATCACAGAACATAGGCAGGATTTAAAACCTGGTATCTGTGGAGACATTCCTGCTCTCTAGACGTTTACTGAAGGTTTGCATCATCATGAGCTGTGTTTTTGTAGTTTCTCTCATGGCCAGAAGGGGGAGACAGAAGCTCCGGTTTAAACTAGTGATGCACGATATTAAAATACCGATAAAGTAAAGTACCGATATCCGATGTTAATGTTTCTGATATCGCCGATAACCGATATCACCGACGTCGATATTCAGTTTTTGTTGACACTGAACAGTGAGTATCTGTCAGCGCTGTGAGTAAACTATTCAAGAGAAGCCACATTAGACCAAAAGTAAAACATGTTTAAACATATTTTAACATATTTAACGTTAAAGGACCATTTAGTAAAAAGCAGAAACATCAAACATAGAGACGAAGGCGCTGATGTTAGACAATCATCGACGAGATGTGTTCAGCGGACCGATAGAACCCTGATATCGTCTGATGTTGTGGCTGACGGATCGAGCATCCCTACTTTAAATGCAGCAGCACTAGATCATGTGGTGTCTAATTAAAGGATATTTTCTGGATGTTAAAGCGAGCTATGGTCTTGAAGGACGAGCCGTCTGCCGTCATAAATAAACCCAGACCGATGAAGCACCTGGAACTCCAGGTTGACCTCCACCAGCTCCCTCAGCTCAGGAGATCTGGCCACCGGCTCGATGAGGCACGAACAGAAGGACCTGGAGCAGAGCAGGAAGCAACGACAGAGATGTCAAACAAAATACACACAAAACATCCAGTGTGGGTTGAACTTCTCCACATTTTCTTTCCTTCTTTGGGGATAACTGCAGCCAACATTACAAAAACAGTGAAAGAATCACCAGGACTTGTTTTTTTGTGGATTTTAAAGGTTACTGAGTCTCACCGTTGGAGCAAACATCCCGGCGTCGGCTTCTGGACCTCCCTCAGAGTCTGCATGGGCAGAATCTGAACCACGTTGACGATCATGCGAGGAACCTGAAGGGCGACGTTCAGACCGCATCAGTGAAACCCTGAATCCTCACCGCGAGCAAAATCTAAGAAAAAAATCTGTTTTTACTTCACCTCGTTCATGAGCATTTCCAAGGAGACGGTCATGTAGTGGATGAAGTTGTCCACCGAGAAGAGAGCCTGGAAGGAGCAGAAAGGTTCGTCAGAGGAGAGCAGACAGTCCACGTCCTGCAGGAGCAGACCACCGACCTTGTCTTTGCAGTAGTCGCAGATGTCGTTCATGCCCATGAGGATGGTTAGAAGCTTCCAGTCCTCCTCGAAGTTCAGCCCCTGCAGGAAAACATGAGTTTGATCCGTGAAACCTCGTCTCTGATTGCATCACTTCAGAGGAAAGTGAAGCTTGTTGTACCTCGTAGGCTCTCAGCGTGTCGATCAGATGCCTCGTCTGTCCGGGCAAGTTGCTGGAAGAGAAACAACAAGCAGAGTTCAGTTCCTGAGCAGGAGGGAAGCAGCCTGAAGCCTGAACAGCTCGGATCTAAAGCGTCTGAGTTGAATCATGTCCCTGCAGCTTGCTGGAGGTCGTACAAGGTGTTGTGTCCGGTCACAGCCAGGTTGAAGCCCGTCTCGCTGATGTGAGCCTGCATCCCGTGGACCGTCTTCCCGGGAGCAGCGCCCAGCAGGTTGGGATTGAACAACTTGATGATGTCTAAAAAAAAGAAAACCCCCAAAAAGAGACACGAGTAAAGAAACCACGGTGGATGGTGCTGATGTTCAGAAACAGCTGAGACATCACCAGCTACGTCTTACTTGCCAAAGTAATGACATCCTGAAACGTCCCGTAGCCGCCGATGCTGCAGGCAGAGAGGAAAGTAATGTTAACAGCCATATTTCAACTTAATAATAATAATAATAAAGGCTCAAGGATAAAGGTGACATCTACTATCCCTGATGGGAAGAGCTGTCCTCCAGTCAGCAGTTACACCATAAAACAGACACAAATAACAAAATACAGAAGGAAAAATATCAAACAAAATCAAATGTAAAATAAAATCATCAGTCCTGGACACAAAATATGCTGATAAAATAAAAATAAAACAGAGTAAATTAATAAAATCATCACTACTGAGACAAAAAATATGATGATAAATGAAGTAAAATGTAATAAATTAAAAGAATTATATCATCATCAGTCACAGGCAAAATATTATGATGTTAAAATAAAAATAAAATAGATCAAAATGATAATGTTATCAGCCATAGAAGAAAAAAAAATCTGATAAAATAAAATAAAATAAAACAGATTAAAAGAATATCATCGTCAATCATAGAAAAAAATATAATAATAAAATAAAATAAATTAAAATAAAATAAATTAAAACAATCTTTAGTCATAGACAAAATATATGATGATAAAATAAAATAGATTAAAATAATATCATCACTCATATACAAAAAAATATGATAAAATTAAATAAAATTAATTTAAGGCCAATTAATCTCAAAATAATCTGTTACTATTATTATTAAAATGAAGCATTGGAGTGCTCACAATATGCTAATTATATGCTAATTATATGCTAATCCCAACATTTTATATGTGCATACATCACAAAGGTCACTGGATCAGACTGACCACACACAGCATCATGTCAGCTGGATTTATTTTGTTGTGGGGTCTTTTTTTATGACAATTATAAAGTTTACTAATTGCACTTTTCTTTGCAATATTACAAAATGCTTTTAATAAAAAACACACCAGGTAGATAAAATGAGAATAAATCCAAAGGACACGAGCACAAAGAAACCACCAGCGAGCAGGAAGTGAGCAGCAGGACGCCTCAGAGATCCAAAGGCCACAAAGCAGGTCAATAACCAGGAGATAAATTTAGCAGCGAGGCCGTTTAAGGTCTTTAACGTGAACAATGAAACACGTAAATCAGCTGGAAGGCTAACGAGGAGCCAGTAAAGAGGAGCACGACGTCTTTGTCCAACGTTTAGTCTGTCATGGAGCGATGGACAGGAAATCATTTAGAGATAATCTGGAGCTGAAAGAAACAAAACTCATCGTAACGAAGGTTTCAGAGCCGACATGGAGCAGTGAATTAAAAATGGCCGACTTCCTGTTGGGTTTACGATGCGGCTCCACGAGGCTGTTTGGTAGATGTTGGACTTTTACAGAATGAAACGTAGCTGAGGGGCTGCTCTGTTTAAACATGTAGGGGGCGCTATTGAACCTGTCAAACCCATTAAACCTGCACATTTACATCACTTCTGATGCAGATCTTGTGGTGTTTGGAGCGTCCCTGACTCCCCTCAGCTGATTGTTTCACAGTGAAACACTGAGACGGAGTCAACACAGATCACACTGAAGCATCGTCAAGGTTTTTAAAGAAGAACAAACACAAGAGATTTGCTGCATATCTGACAATGTACGTTCAAGTAACAACTGCTGCCACAATAAAATGTATGTATGGATTTGTAATGTATTTATTCTGCACCAAATGGTCACGATAAGCTTATCATGGCAGCTTTATTGTTATTATATATTATTATCTGACAGCTGAATCAATCTGACTGATACGACATGTTAGATCTCTTTGAAGCTAAACTGTGAAGTTTTTGTTGAACGCTGTGTTTGTGTGATGAAACGTTTGTGTAACTTCAGCGTGTTTTATCCAGTTTACAACCAAATTTGTTTGAAAAGAGTTCCATCCTGAACAAATCTGCACGTCGACTATTTAGTGAAGCTGACGTAGAATCTAATTTCCGGCCTCGTGACACCTGCACACTTCCAAGAAACAAAACCTCCTTTTTTTTTTTTTACATTATTAGATCATCTTTTACAAGCACACCATTAAATCTTTTCACCTGAAACGAGCATTTTAACGTCTTAGTAGTAAAATCACAACATTACTGGGTTTTATTACATTTCTGATCAAACTAACTGCTAAATTATACGACATTTTAGGTTTTAATAATGTGAATTGTTGCATTATTGGATGCTTAAACCTCCTTTTTGCAGCATCAGATAAGCCTTGAGGCCTGATCATAGCCACACACCTGCAACAAAACCCTTCGTCTGAATTCAACAGCGTCAGTTAGAAGCTAAAATACGAGTTGTTATCTGGTGTCACGTGTTTTCTCTCACCTCCAAGACACGTGGCGAAACTCGATGGGAATCCCGAGGACAGTGGTGGCGTTGGCGCCGATGGCCGTCTGAGGAGGAAGCGTTCAGGTTCAACACGTTGCTTTTACACTTCAGAGAGGTGTTGGGTTGTAAAAAACACGCTCAGCGATCCTGACTTTAACTCTCCATCCTCGTCCACACTTTGAGCTCATTTCACCTCCGTCTCAGCAGGACTGAGCGAGGATGCGACACGTTTGTTAGATTTAATGAAAGAGAAAGCAGCAGACAACACCTACTGTCAGAGAATCCCCCAAAGCAGCGATGACTTTGATATCAGCCGCCTTCACAAACTCCACTGGACCACAGGGTGAAAGCAAAGACACAGAGGACAGAGAACAGAGAGAGGATCAGTTGAATCCAGCTGAGTTCTGGCACGACGGATCGATTGGAGGCGACAGACCTGAAGACGGGACGGAAGGAGAAGGGCTCATGTCCGGGCACTGAAACTCTGGATGCTTAAAGCTCGCCGGACGAGTTTTCTCTGGAAACTCCTGAATAAATAAGAAGATGAAAGGCCTCCGAGTCAGATTAAAACCCACCAGCCTCCCACTGATTAAAGGTTTATCTAAGGAACTGACAAGATTCAGCTGTTTCCCTGATTTAAACGTCTTCAGTGTCTCGTTCAGCCGCCTTGTCTTGACCATGAAGGCCTCGTTTACAGATTAACCAAGAAGGCAAATAAATGTTTAGAGCAAACAACAACAGGTTAAACAGGACAAAACTAAAAACCCAAATCACCCAAAAAAAGATTAAAAGGGATCAAGCTTTAGACTTTCCTGCAGGTTTCTGAGGAAAAGTGGATTTTCAGTAAAAACACCTGCAGCAGTCAAATCATTCAAGGTTGTTTGATAAAGGCCAACATTAATCACCTTAAAAATCTGGTTTTCTTTCAACAAAAATAAATAAATAAATAGCCAAAAAAAAACAGTTTATCAGAAACAGAAACTGCAAAAGCAGAAAAAAATGTCAGATTTTTACCTTTCAGATGGTCCTTGAGTGAATCATGTGTGGTGTTCAGTTCAATCAGGAAAAAAAATGACCAAATAAAGCCTGAAATTGGGATATTTTATCAAAATAGCTTCATTCTACGTGTTATACAGTTGTCCTCAGATGTATTCATCAACTCCCATTAAAGAAAAGGCAAGATTCACAACAGTCCCTCAAATAACTAGAAACTGAAAAAAGTAATAATAAATAAAAATTAGCTAAATTATATTTTAGTGAAATAAGACGATGCTTTTGAATTGTGGTTGAAAAGAATAATGACAAAAAAAAAAAAAACTGTCCCTGAGGGGGAAAAAAATCTTAAAATCTTCAGCTGTGGTTAAAAATAATAATTAAAAAAAAAACAACTAAAAATTCTGAGAGTTCTCAGTTGAACTGCAGGCAGAGAGGAAAATAAAATGTACTGGATCAATAAATAAATGCAGCACGGATCAGAACCAGAGAACAGAGGAGCCAGATGTTGGAGATACATCCAGCTGATGGTGGAACATCTGTCTCCAGCTTTATGAGTTAGCAGAGGCTGTGAAAGTGTAAATATGTGACTATCAACAGCACGTAGAGCCTCCAGTACTGTCAACACGTGTGCACTTGTGGATTCATTTCTAGTTCTTCGTGGTTGTTCTGTTTCCACAGAGGTGCAGGACTTTATATTGAAGTGAAAAATGAGCCCACAGTGAAAGAAAAATGTGGCAGAAGCACAGAAAAGAAAAACACCCAGAAGCTTCTTGGAGTTCAGAGAGCTGAAGGACAACAGCGATGGCGAGGAACACACTAAATAAAACATCGTGTGTCGGCATCTGAGGGCTTCAGAGCCGACACACGCATGTCTCCATAATTCAGCAGTGCTAGGACGGGTGTTTTGCTTCATGTCTTTGGGCCGATAGCTGTGCTTGTTCTGCACATACTCAGGATGCCTGCAGGTCCATGTGGCGGGGCATCGTCACGGCAACCTGCCTCCTAATCTTACAGGTGGGTTAACTATTGACATATACATTCAGGCTTTTTTGTCACCAGCAAAATGTAAAATCATCCAGCTTTGACACAAGACTGTACCTGATTGAGGGCCTCCTTGCTGTAGTGTCGTATCCCCTCCTCATACTCCCACCACCAGTCGCTGCCTTTAACAGAAGGAGTCCTTTTTGTTTTAAAACCCTACTGTGAACACTTTAAACAACATCCCCCCTCCCCGTGTCACTCAGCACACAGTAACGGCTGCTGTTTACTCTGCTCCAGGTGTGCTTGCATTTCTACATTTACAAAAAAGAAAAAAAAACTTCAATTTGCCACCATGACATGAAGCGCAGGGGCCTGTTTCGGAGCTCGGCGGTAACAATAAATGCAGGCACGCCGCCTCACGTGTGCCCTCCTGCTTGTTCCAGCACTTACCTTTGACAGAGCGGGACGCGAGCACACACGTTGCCACGGCGATCCAAAGCCACCCCATAGTAGTGCGCGTATGGAACCGGTCAATGGGTCACCCCTACAGACTTGCACAATGGGATGCTGGGGTTTTTTACAGCCCCGCGGCTCGGCGTCGCCCACCCCGAGCCGCTGAGTGACAAGCGGCAGCTCCAATGAGGCGGCAGGAAGCCCCACTCACACACAGCGACACACTCAAACAGCCGTTAAATATCCATATAGCATTTATTAATTTTCTTTATAAACTCGTGTCGATGGTAAAAACGCACTCTCGACCACTGTGTGTGTGTGTGTGTGTGTGTGTGTGAGTGTGTGTGTGTGTGTGTGTGTGTGTGTGGCTGTGGGGCGTGGTTGTGGCGGTGGGTGGGGTCCGGTGCAGGGGACGGGCTCCTGCACAACAACACGTCCTGTTTTTGACACTTCATGCAGATGCACTGGCAGATACATTCTCAACAACTCCTACAACAAGCACATAATGTGGAACCGAACAAATGGGAGCTGAACGTGGCAAACGGACCAACCGAGCGACGGGTGAATACTGTGCGGCCGAACCGTGGCTTCGTCTGCTTTCTCTTGTGTCGGCCTCAGATTTGTGGCCATCTGAGCTAAAAAGGCAGATTTCCAGCTTTTTTTTTCTTCTTTTCTATTTTTCTTTTTGTTTGGTGCTGAGGGGGCGGAAATTCTCACAACAGCTGAAATAGTGTGAAAGAAAAACAACTCATCCATCTCATGTAGAAACAATCCAGAGTTTGCTATCTTTAAAGCTGCTCCAGTTTCAACAGTTGGCTCAGGACTATCGAGCTTCCATCAAAAAAAAACAACAACCACAAATCAAAATGAATGTGCACAGCGATGCTTCAGAACCGACTCGCCTCCACTTTTCTGTCAATCTTCTTGCTCAGCTGCTCCTTAAAATGAACCTTAAAATCCTACGAACTCTGCTGTCATCGGCTATCAGCAGCTTCTACGTCTGACTGATCATCTGTATTCATTCTACTGATTTCAGATCAATTAAATCCGTTTACAAATGTGCTGCTTTGGCTCTGGTGCAGCAACGAACACTTAAATAAACTAAAATATTTGATTGAGTTGAATTTTGATGTTAATTTTTAACCCAAATATCAGCTCATCATGTCCTGGATCACTGATCATCAGGATCAGTCGACCTCCTCTGAGGAACCACATCAAACATCAACCTGCTCTTTTGTTCTTAGAACGATGACAGAACATGGCCGTAGTATATTTTAGCACTGACTAAAGGAAAATGCAAAGCAAAGAAATTTAAATTTGTTCACTCAATAATGAAAAAAAAAAAACGTAAAGTCTGCCAAAAAAAAAAAAAAAAGAATCATGACTTTAAGAAAATCAAACTGACTGTTGTTGCCTTGTTTCTAAACACTGCGCAGCATTAGGATTGAAGCAGTCCGACTGAGTGTCATTTCCTCAAAGAAAAGAGAAACCAGACATGAGAGGGGGAGCGTGAGAAGAAACTAATGCACATATCAGATTCCATCCTGCTAATGAGTCAAACTGCCTTTTGATCTGGCAGACTATTTCCATGGAGAGGACACGGGGGACTTCTGGAAGGATCCTGAGTCACAGACTAACAAGTCCGAAGCCTGTTTTATCCTCTCAACACTCTGTTCTGTAGTGTTAACGCCCCCGCCGCCGGGTTTCCAGCCCAGGACCGGCACGTTTCAGATGGAGGAAGGGAGGCTGAACAGTTCGGCAGCCGGTCGAGTCTCTCTGAGCATGTGGAGAGGGTTTCAGCCTCTCGTCTGTCCCTCCGCTGCCTTCGCTCGCTCACTGCTGCTCCTCGTCCTCCGGAGCCGGGCCCGGCGCCGCCGTGTCGTCCTGGGGCTCGGCCGGGGCCGGAGGCGGCTGCTCCTGGGGGGGCCTGGGGGGAGGCGGCGGGGCCGGGGCCGGGGCTGGCGGGCGGGGCGGCACTATGATTTGGTGCTGGCGCTGTCGGTAGGCGATGACGGTGCCGAGCAGCAGGGCGATGACCGTCATGAGGTAGAGGTCCCACTCCGGGCCCAGGAGCTGGTCCAGGTCCACCTGAGACATGAGCTCCTTCAGCTGGCAGAAACACACACATGAGCAACATTAGTCCCGTGTGATGCTGCAGAGCTTCTACATGGACTCTGGATCACCTGATCTGACAGAAACTTTAGTTAAAAAAGTGTCTGGAAGTAAAGTAAACAAAACCTCGATGAACTAAAAAAGTGTTTTTAAAGCCTCTGAACACCGACTAGTTTTTATTTGCTGCTGTTGCATCTTTTCTCACCATCACCTCTAAAACACACGACTAGAACAAGAGACCTCGTCCTATGAGCCCTGTGACACAGTTAGATACCATCAATCGTAGGAAAGGAAAAATTAAAGTTGGATTTCTTTGGTTGTTTTCAAAACATTCTACATTCAGTAGATCTTTGACCATCTCCATGTTCTGGCCTCTCCAGATGTTTCCTCTCTCCTCTCTACTAACATGCTGGATGCATCACCGTTCTGTGTCTCTTTATTGTGTCTTGTTCCTTTATGTCATGTTGTGCCTTGTTTTTGTTGTTTTCTGTCTCTTTGTGGTCGTTTTGTCTCCACATACTACAGATATTTAACTATCTCCATGCTTCCAGCCTCTACAGACTTTTCCTCTCTGCTCTGCTCATCAGCTGTAGAAAGATGTTCCACCATCAGCTGAATATATCTCCAACAACTGGCTCCTCTGTTCTCTGGTTCTGATCCGTGCTGCATCTATTTATTGATCCAGTAGGTTTTATTTTCTTCTCAGTCTGTCTGAGGAAACACTGCCTGCAGTTCAACCTAAAACAGTCATTTTTCCAGCACAAACTGCGTATTATTGGATTAAATCAGGTGATTTTGATCAAACACACACCTTTAAGCTTAGATGTGGTTGTATTTTCCAGACAAAACGATTCATTCCAGGACAACTAGAAAGTTTTTCTGTTTTTACAGTTTCTGTCTGATGAATGATGTGATTTTTGCTGCTTTACTTCTGAAACTGAACATGCCTTTCGACTGGTCGGCAGCTTTTTGGTGTTCAGAGGGTTAAATATTTGATCATTTTGCTTGAATCTCTTTCCGGGGCTCCAACAAGCTCTTCATGCAGGAACTAACTTTCTAATTAAAACTAATTCAAAGCCAAATTGTCAGAGCTCCAGAAGCACTCACATTAAGATCCTGCAGGTACTGCAGAGTGTAAATCAGGCCCAGCTTGCAGAGCGCCAAGAACACTGGGACCTGAGCGTCGGGACTGGCTTCAGCGGCCATGTCGTAGAAACGCTTGGCCAAGTGGATGTCCTGCAGGAAACACAATTAAAGATGAACCGTACTGGTGAATGAACACGTGTTGATGGTTGAGAACCAGCAGAGTCGCTCACCTGCTTGATGCCCAGGCCTTTCTCGTGCATGTAGCCCAGGTTGAACATGGCCTGGGCGCTGTGCTGCTGCTCTGACGCCAGCCTGTAGTGGATCACCGCCGTCTCGTAGTCCACGTCCGTCCCGTAGCCGTAGAAGTGGTAGTCCCCGAGTTTGATCCGCGCCACGGTGTAACCTTGGAGGGACAGCGGCGTATTTAACTCTGCGTGGAGGTTTGCTTTTGCATGGACACACTCATAGAGGCCTCCTGATACATTCTGCACTCCCTCAGAGTTTCCTATTCCCTGTGATGGACGGAGGGAGGCTGAGCCGTGGCATGATGCTGCATTATGTAGTGAAGCAGACTGCGGCTGGCTGTGACCACGGAGCCTCTGAGCCGTGGCCGCTCAGCCTTCACTCTGTAACCTTGCAGTTGAGCTAATTCAGCAGCTCTCTCTCTCTCCTGCCGACTGCTGGAGCTGTGATTCTGTTGCCATGGCTTTGGTTGTTAAGGTTGTGACACATTTGTTTATAAAAGGGTGTAACACCACCTACATGCAGCCGTGTGTGTGTGTGTGTGTGTGTGTGTGTTTCCTCGACTCTTCCTGAGCTCTGATTAAACCACCAGGCTGAAACATCCACACAGTCACAGATTCAACCACTAACCAATCTGGGTATTTACACTCTCCACAGCCACAGCTTCGGCCAGCAGCAGCAGCAGCAGCAGCAGCTCAGCAATGAGTAACACGCGTCACATCATCTCTGATTTACGTAGCATCTGCAGAGCATTTCATAAACTGGCAGCAAGTTAGCGCAGCACGCCAACTGTTCATATGGATCGGGGGAAGGGAGGCTCTGCAGGTTTTTTAGCAGCCAAATTCTCCCTACTTTACTTTATTTAACTGGAATTACTGGCAGCCTTCAGCAAACTGGTCAGGTTACAGTTTATTATTTATATCATCTGTCAACTTTCTTTCTTGTGACCATATCAGCTGCCAAACGTTGTATTTTTTGTACAATGACAATAAAGCTTCTTCTTCTTCTTATATTATGATTATTGTTATTGTTGAGCTGTGACACATGAATGCTGTTTGCAAAGTTTAAACTCCACTTTTTCCATCAGTTTGAACAAAATGCAACCAGAACCACGACTTCTTTGACGCAGCGTCGCTTAGTTTTGCGCCGACTCCCAGTTAAAGTTCAGTAAACGTTAAATAATTTACACCTAGCAGCCTCTGTAAAGTCTAACCAATAAGCATCCGGACGAATTAGAGCTGATCAACTGACAACTAGACTAAAGCCGGAGACGAAACTGTGATCACCAAAGTCTCCGTCAGTTCATCCCTGAGTCCAAGCAAACATTTGTGCCACATTTGATGACATTTCATCCAGATCTTCAGGACATATCGCATTCACAAGATGTTCAGACGGACAGTTCAGAAACATCCAGACCAACAGAGGCAACGCTTCCCCACAAACACATTCAGGACCTTTTAAATAAAACCCAGTCCTACCTTGAGCTGCAGCTCTCGTCCAGTGCAGCAGCGCTCGAGGATACGTCTCGTTCTCGCTGAAGATCTTCGCGCCTTCTGACATAAACACAACGGAGACTATTTACTACGTTACCGCAGGCCGTGCATTTAGACTCACATCCTGAAGACACTGAGATCAAAGTTGGTTCTCACTCTGGTCCAGGATGAAGGCCACGTTGCTCTGCGCCACCTCGTATCCCTGCTCCGCCAGCAGCAGGTACTGGACCAGGGCGGCGTCCGTCTCGCCTTCCTTGAAGCTGCCGTACGCCGACATCAGACGCTCCGACCAGCGGCCGCGCTCGCACACGTTCTTAAAGAGCTGCAAACAGGACGCAGGCACAGAACAATAGGATTATGACGAGGAATCGACTGATACGGGTCAACAAAGATCAGGTCAGGCTGATCATTAGAATGGATGCACATCATGGATAATGTTTGAAAAGCAGGTGACAGCAGAGAGTCGTTCATAACCAGACGTGTTCATGAACAAGGGTGACTATAACTGAATATGTAAAATAGAAACAGATCAGTTTGTCTCCTGCTGTTCTTCTCTGTTTTCTTAGTTTTTCACTTTCATCGCTCACTAAGGTCCAGATCTTTAAACACCATTAACCATTATTTTCCAGACTGTTTTGGGTCCATCTGGGGCTGCCTGCTAACTTAGCCGCTAGCCATTAGCGTAGCTTTAGCCACTGTGAGACGAGCTAACTTCCTGGTTTGTGGCGACGGCTCGTGTTTCTGGTTCAGTTTTTGCATCAGACATGAAAAAAGCTTTTAACTGAACAACATCAGTAACTTCCTTTAATTCACGTCTTAAAGACTTAACTTACTTTTAGCTTTAATTACTGTCAGTGTTTTATTCTGTTTTGATGCATTGTTTGTTTTATATGTTCTCTTTTGTTTTTATTTATTAATTTCAAGCTGCCTGGTTCTTCGGTGTGGTGTCATTTTTAATCCTTTAATCCTTAAGTCCTCCTTTGGTGTCTCTGTATCGCATGTTTTCACTGTCAAAGCACCTTGTGAAGGCGTTCTTAAAGGTGCTACATAAATAAAGTTATTATTTCTTTTATCATAATCAGTTAGTTAAAATACGGATAATCTGAAAAATGTCAAATATCGGTTATGATAATCGGCGAGGCTGATAATCCCTAATTGTAGCCGTTTCTCAGGTCTATTAAAGCAAAGATTAGAACGAATGATCACCGTTTACTCAAACGAGGAGGTAATTTAATCTTCTAATGGAAGAATAATAGCTAAATGACAGCAGAGAGTCGCTGTAAACGGAGCTTCACCTCCACGGCGGTGTGGCAGGAGCGCATCACGCCGGTGCCGGTGGCGTGCATCTGGGCCAGGTTGTAGAAGGCCAGGATGTGGCCGGCCTGCGAGGCCAAGTTGAAGAACTTGAGCGCCTGTTTGTAGTCGCGCTTCACTCCGATGCCGTCTGAGGGAAGGAAGAGGAAGAAACGTAAAGACGTGAAGAAGGTGGAGAAGCACAAAGCCGCTGGCGGGTGAAGCCCTCCTCACTCACTGTAGTACATGGTGCCCAGCTGCAGCTGTCCGTCCACCCAGCCCTGCTCGGCTGCCTTCTGGAAGTACTTCAGCGCCAGCTCGTAGTTCTGGAAACGGAAAAACACGCAGTTTTCAAACGGATCCTCTGATGTTGCTGCAAACTAAAAGCCTCACACACCAAACTTCTGACTGTGAGACACAAAACCAAACAGAAATGAGGCAAAACTGCAGTTTCATTGTTCTTATGTAAACGTAGAGAGGTTATTCCTACAGAACAGCATGACATCGACAGCCTTTCAGGATTAAATAACTGTTCTTGCCGGCGGGAGAAACACGACGACCCGTGTGTGAAGGTGAGTCTCGTGTGTTTCTTTCTGTCGGTGGGTTGTCAAGGTCGAGTACATTGTGTCCTCGTGATATTTCTTGAATGCCTGCTGGAAATCTCTTAACATTTGGCACAAACATCCTCTTGAGGATGAGATTTTGGAGGTCAAGGGTCACGGTGACCTTGCAAAACCCATTTTTACCTCCAGCTGTAGTCTCCTGGTTTGTCAGTCAAACCAAATTCTTATTCGTTGGACAAACTCTGGTGCTTTGATAAGGAGAAAAAAAGCGACATATCGACAGGATCTGAGGATTAATCGCTGGCGTCTGATTCAAAACCCTCTCTGGCTGTGTTGCTGCTTTTAATTCTTCGTATAGATTTGTCTTTTAGTCATCATGTTTTACTATTTTAACCAAACTTTGTTTCTGGCAGCAGAAAGAACATCAGAAGTCATCGATGTGGCCGCGGTTTGTTCAAACAGACGGAGCAGATGTTAACTTTGCAGCTAACTTGTCTGTGTTCATAGCCCTCAATAGTTCCAGTTAATACTTCACTTCGACTGATTTAAAATGCTGCAGATGCTAACTTTTATTCTTATTTTAGAATTCCAGGTTAGCAGATCGAGTGCAGGATCAAGACAATGCGCTCATTTTCGCCTGCAAGCAATCGTCTGATTTTAGTCGACTAAGACTTATTTTGTGTGACTGCAGAACTTCAGAGCGTCTGCAGTGTGTGCAAAAGGCTGCTCACCACTGGGACGCCTCTTCCGTACAGGTAGGCCATACCCAGGCCGCTCTGTCCCACCGGATTACCCTGGAACAAACAACGACACATCAGCACCACACGTCTTCCGTTAATGCACACGATATGTAGAAACAGAACCAGGTCAGAGTCGTCCACCCACCAAGTCCGAGGCCTTCTTGAAGTACTGCAGCGCCGTCTCGTTGTTCTGAGGGAGGAACTCGCTGCCTTCTGAATACATCTGAGGGACACAAGGTCACAGAAGATGTTTATAAAAACCCTCGAATTCCTCAAATACAAACAGCGTTCTGTGTGGAAACCAGCCGCTGGCTTCGTTTATTATCACCAAAGCACACGTCATGATTTTTTAATTTCATCTTCAGACACTCATTCATATTCAACTAACTCCATTTAAATCTGTTTTTTTATTCGGTTCAGAGGTTCTCAGTCACAGAATTCAATAACTGAGGAGATGAAATCTTCTGCAGCAGCTTTGAGGTTAAACAGATTCGTTATTTCATCGTGAACTTTGAGGCGTGAAGCTTCTGCTGGCAGCAGATATTCACTTATTCTGAGTTTGTCTGTGTGCTAACAGCATCATCTTCTGTTATTTTCTCAAGAGGAGGCCGCTGAATCTCCTCCACTGTATGCAATCTGCTTTTTTCTTTTTATTGTGCACATAAAGAATCCTAAAACTGCTTTGTATTCAATTTAGATCATCTCTCTGCTCTCCAACTAAATGACTTTGTCTCCTGAATACATATTTATAACATTCACAGCCACCGAAGTGATAGAGAGGGAAACAAAGAGAAAACTCAGCTCTGAATATTAACAAGAAGCTGCTTTTATGGGAAAAGACATTCAGCAGGCCGCTCAGGGAAAAGAAAAAAAACAAGTAAATCAACCTTATCTCACTCACCTTGCCGAGGAAAGCCATCGCATGTGTGTTTCCTGCGTTTGCAGCCTGCGTGAAGTAGTCGTACGCCCTCTGTTGGACAGAACAGACACGTCAGTCAGAGCAGAACCACCTAAAACCAGTCAGAGTAATGTCAGTGAACACTACCTGGTGGTTCTGTTCCACTCCACGCCCTCCGTGCAGGTGGAGCTGACCCAGGCCCACCTGTCAGGAAAAGACCAGGAAACACTGCTGTTATAATCAGGGCTGAAAATGCAAACGACAAAAAGCTTTTCACGTTGATATTTGTTGTGTAAATGTGACCTGCCTGCGATAAAACAGCAAAGTATTTCTCATACAGCAAAGTGATGCTTTAAATTCTAGCCGCGTCCTATTCCAAGGTTTTTGAACTGAGGTGGCCTTTAAAGAAGATTTATTCATGAAAGGAAACATAATTAACTATAAAATATACATACGAGCACCTTTTTGGCCAATTTTCCTTCTTTACATAAACAGAATAAACGTTTCTGTCGATCAAATGCTCAGAAATATGAGAAAAAAGCAGATTTCTGACACATAAGGCGACACAGACGTGTTGTTTTTGCTCTATGTGGACTGAATGTTGGCTGTCATGCACAAACAAACGCTGCACATGCATCATAAATAAGAACGAAGGCTGTGTGGAATCATTTGACTATAGTGAGTAGATTTAGCTCCATCTCATGTCATTTCCTCAATAAGCAAAGGCTCGTCCAAAGAGTCTGTTTCTTTACTGATGTTTTACAATTTGCAATATATTTTTGTAAAGTTAATTAAATTAAACACACATGTGACACGTGTATACCTGCAGGAACACTTCAGCTCCTAACACGAGCGCTGATCCCTAATAAACAGCTGACTGATGCTCGTTGTACCTGAGCTTGCACGTCTCCCTTCTCCGCTAGGAACTGGTAGTACTGGATGAGGTCCTCCTCCAGCATCCCGCTGGTAGAACCCGGGTTCTCCACCTCGTCCAGCAGCCGGATCTTCTGCACTGCCGAGCCCCCCGTCAGAGAGACATCGCTGGCCACTGGAGGCAATAAAAGAGCGAATATGAGAGAGAGAAAGAGCTCGAACCTGAATACAACGTTATAAATCTGCAGTGGAGACGTACCCTGATTAGCCACCAGCCTGTAATGAGTCAGCGCCGACTCACAGCTCTGGGGAACGCCCACCCCTCCCCAGTATCGGTATCCCTAACAAACACAATAAAATGTTGGGTTTTTTTATTACAGTAAAAGCAGCACGAGTGAATTATTGCTTTACTGACAAATAAATCCGCTCACCAGGATCATATGAGCCACCAGGTTTCCACCCAGAGCACCGAAGGTGTAGTAAACCAAGGCCTGGAGAGCAGAACGCAGGAGTTATGTGACGGATCAGACAAAACATTATACGGAAATACAGAATAGAAAAACAAAACTGAACATTCAGACGTGTTTCCTTTTGTATTTCTGTTTAATTTAACCCTTTTTTAAAAATTAGATTTGTACATTTTTAAAGTCTTTATTATTATTATTATTATAATAATTAAGCATCTTACAATAAAAGCATCTACTGTGAGACGTTACCTTTGCTTGACTCGAGTTAACTCCAAGTCCTGCTGCGTACAGGAAGCCCAGAGCCTGTGGAAGAATAAATACAGAACAAATTCAAAACTCTGAGCTACGTTAAGGTTAGAGGCCTCATTTACAATACAGCCAAACAAATAAACAGAAGATTCAGGCAAATAAATGAAAGAAAACAGAGATAAAATTAGCAAATAACATATTAAAAAGGCAAAATCGTAAAATTAAACAAGAGAAGCTGCAGATAAAATACGACGAAGCCACTACTTTAAATCATATTATAGTGCAGTAGGATTATAACCATCATTGGTAATAAAGACATTAGTGCAGAATATATTCAGATATAATAAAACGTCTCCTCAATAAGCATCTTTCAACAATACAGCAGAAAACAAGAAAAAAAAGCAGTGTTTGTTGTAATTTAGTCACAAATTCAGTTACATGACATTTAAAAGACACCTTTTTATTAATCAGAATATAAAATATATTTAATCTGTGATTCTTTCAATGTTTGCCCCGTTCTTTGTAGAAATGATCAGATCATTACAACCCTTGTTTTGGATAAATTCATGATTATTGAGTCGAGTGAAGAACATCAGAATAATCAGAACATTTAACCAGATGTTCACGTTAGCGTTTCGAGGCGAGCCTTTACCATCTGAGCTTTGGGCGAGCCCTCGATGGCGAGCTTCTCGAACATCTCCTTGGCCTTGGTGACGTTCTGGCTCATGTAGTCTCCGAACAGCATCGCGTACGCCACCTTCTCCATGGCCTTCTGGTGGCCCTTCGCCGCCACTTTCAGCAGCTTCTCGTACAACCTGAGAGAAACCGGTTGGATGAGCAGGTGCACTGACATGAGGAACATAGCTTCAAGCAGGACTGTGGCGTCTAAAGCAAACAAGGATGCACTGAGCAAAGAAGGGCGAGCATCAGCTGGTCGTAAAGCACACATAAAACCAAATACACTTTTATATCTATCAGATGCTGTCTGTGGGGTGAAGAAAAACATTTAGGCCACATGACAGAAGACTTGAGTGGTTCAGTTTTAACTAGATCTGCTGTCATCTCCACTTTGAGTCCATTTTTCTGAGATAAAACGTTAATTTTTGTTCCATCTTTTCAAATTCTGAAGCTCTAAGCTAATCATTAAGGCTATCAAAAGATGCTTTTTCCAACAAGTCCTTCGAGATCCACATCAGGTCGATAACAAACAGGCTCTCACTCTTTTTTCTGGGTCTTCCTGGTGGTGGCGTTGAGCATCCTCAGGATGGTCTGATACTGCTCCTCGGCCTCCTCGGCCTGCAGTCGCTGCTGCGCCTGTTCCTCCGCTGAAAAAACGAGAAGCCAATAAGTGCATTTAGAGGCAAACAAACGGTTTCAGAACGTTGGCAGCGGTGGGCACAAAACTAATTATGGAAATGAAACCGTGACGCGCTCTCAGGCTGGTTTCCATCATCTGCTTCAGCAGCTGCTCGGAGACTTTACCGAAGAAGAGAAAACAACAATCCATCCGCCTGTTAGGACGCGATTTATCGACCCTCTGATGATCCTGTTTCCAGATCCAAACCTCTAATGCTGTGGCTCTGAAACCCAAAGGTACCGTTCAGGCTGCTCTGCTGCCTTTTATTGGCGCGACTCAGGAGCAGCACACGTTTAGGCTGAACAACATTTTAACACCTCAGAAAAGACGAGTCGCTGTCCAGCTAGCCAAGACTTCAGAGATGAAGCTCAGAATGATTCAAACGACACAGAAACATCTGCATCAATTAATTCTTCATCTCATGCTGTGGATGGCGTTTTTCTCAGACGTCCTCTTGGCTGTCTGACCCTCAACCTAAACCGATAACTATTCAACCAGATCCAACCATGCTCACTGAAGCTAACCAGGAAGTAGCAGGTCACTGTAGGTTAACTAGCCTCACTTCCCGTATTTAGGTGTTTGTTTTAGCTTTATAAGGAACAGCTCAGTCAGAAAATGGCACAGCGACTAGTTGGCTTCTTGGTGCCAACTTCTAGCTTCCCTCAAAGACCGACAAACATACATGTTGGACAGTTTGGGATTAAAAAGCGTTGCCATAGTTTTAACTTTTCCTCGATCGAATCATCTCAGAAAACATAAACAAAACTAACCTTAAAGTTGGGATATTTTCTCAAAAAAACATTTCATTCTGCACGTCTCATCTGAAAATCTTGCACAAATAAGATCATATGCACCAGATGCTGCAGAAAACAAGAACATCAGTGGTTCAGCTGTGACCGACAGTCATGTGAGCAGAATTCACAGTCAGAACAACAGGCGGCATTTACACCCAGCAGAGAGGAGGACAGTATGGAAACCAGTTTAAAACATCACCAACGTCTGTGGGCACATGTTGATTGCTGACATTTAACTGCCACACTGCACAGAAAACATTCAGAAGTTCTCTCTCCTTCTTCTTGGCTGTTGGAGGACCTCACATTGCAGTAAAAAATGAGCCATAGTGGGTAAAAATGCTATTTATCACATCTGTTAGTTTTTTTATGTGAAACTTTAGCCAACTGGTCAGCAACTAAACCATTTTTGTGCTATTATTAGGCTGATAAATAAGATTCCTGCAAGAAATATGCACTAAAACATGCTTGTAATTCCATATTTTTAATCTTCAACTGGAATATTACATTTGCCATTTTTGGGGTTTTTGCTTTGGGGAGAAGTGAAACAAAACAGCAGCTACTGAGTGGGAAACTTACTCTCGCAGAAGCCCCACTTCTTGTCCTGGTCGTAGTCGTAAGTTGTGGCGCACCAAAGCCGTCCGTCCCCCCGTCCGTCAGTGGTACAGTCCAGGTACTCCTTACCCTGGAAGAGGAAGGGGAAGATGCAGGGCTCTCCGTGGGCTGTACCTCCATTCACAACGGGAACTGTGTGAAAGGAAAAACATCCAATTAACATGCACAAAAAACAAAACCTATATTGTGTCGGCATGTCGTGTGATTTTTTTTCTCTCATTATAAAACAACACTGATGAACTTCAGAGTTAATTTAGTCTTCACACAGGCTCAGTTTTCACATTTGTGCAAAGAGCCAGAAGGAAAACCTGCAAACAATCCTGCAGTAGCATGATGTAACCGTCTGCAAGAGGAGCCACAGGTGCAAGACGAAGCTAATTTCTCAGGGGGTTTAACCGTTTATCCAATCTGGCAGCGAAACCACAGACTGCTCGGAGTCAGCAAAACCGAAAAAACAAAAAAAAACAGGTCAACGTGTCAGAAGCTCAGAGCTCACACAAAACACGGGAGAAAGAAAGTCCTGGTTGTTTTAAAGACAAGGTGAAAACCCGAGACAGACAGCTGCAGATCAGAGCGCTGCCACGGCTGATGCTCATCAAAAAAGTTCACACGTTGTTCTCAGCTTCAGCCGAGACGTCCTTGAGATAAATCGCTGAAATTTACCGACCACGTAACGCGCTGAAAGTCTTGCAGTGTTTACTTCAACATTCAGAATAGTTTAAAACAGTCCGCCGTCACACTTGGAGCTGCGATGAGTCAAACCTTCATTTCTGCAGAATCAGATGCTGAGTTGCCTCATAGTTTCATTAATAAAACATTTTAGGGGTTTTCGTATCTGTACTGACACACAAAAGGAACAAATACAGCAGCCTTGTGTTGACTAGTCCTGTGTTTTCTAGCATAAGGACTGTTTCATCCATCCTTGGTTTCAAATATCAGGAAAAACACTCAAAGGTGAGCCGGCGACAGACGACTGTTCCTCTTCAGCTGAGGCCAGAAATAGCAAAGCCCAAACCAGAGAACTCAATATTCCAACATTTAATACATTAAAACCAACAATGAGACAAGTTCAAGGGCTTCTAGTGTGAAAAACCAAACCTCACCTTCTTTTGGTTTCTCCTCAACAGGAGGAGGCTGGTCAGGAAGGTCCTCCTTCTCCTCTCCCTCCAGCCCGTCCGCCGGCGACTGTTTCTCCTCGTCCGGCTGAGAGACTTCATGTCCGGAGGTCACAGCAGCACTCGCCGCGATTCCCGACTCCAGACGAACATCTTCCTCTTCGGAGTCTGGATCGTGGTACGACTGGAGGAGGAGGAAGGAGAAGAAACAGGAAGTTAGTGTAAAGAAGCAGCTGGAAGAGGGAACCAGCATTATGTATTAAAATAAGCTGAATGTATTTGCATAAGCAGGGCTTTTGGGTGAAGCACTGAAGCAGCAATTCAATTTCTGTAACAAGTTCTGGTCACTGGCAGACATTTCTGTTTATCATAGAAATAAGAGGACAATGCACAGACTTCTGCCAAATACGGCAACACGGATTCTGTACTGCACCAGAACCAGTCATGGTTCCTGTCACCCCCCAACAAACTCACTCTGAGCTGGTCAGACCTCTGATGAAGCTGTGGGTGTCTGTGTTACAGTACAGTTGTGACTTCTATCACTAAATAGACTTGTTACTGGCTCTACACCTTCTCTTCATTTCAATAAATAAACCTGTAATGACACCTCAGGAATCATACACGCCCTGATTCAGAAAGTAGGAAGGATTGCAGGGAGCAGCTGAAGAATACAGATCAGGCTTTTACGCTGATTGTTCAAACCGAAGCGGTGCCATATTGTGATGAAGTAGTTTCTCCTGAAGCGTCTGGTTAACGCTGAGGTGATTTCTAAAATGGATCTGAGGCAATAGCTTGGATGTGCTTATAATAATCCATCTCTGCTGCAGTGCAACGTGTCATTTAAACAGATAAAACTCTAAACTGCCGCACGGTGGAAGAGGCTGAACTAAAAATGCCAGAGTCCATCTTCACCAGGGTTTGATGTTTTACAGTGAAGATAAATATTAAACATCTCACCTTTAACTCTGCTTCGTCGTTCCGGTGCTGCTCTTCGTCTGAAAAGTAATAATTTGGAAGCAGTGAGAGCTTGTGATGGACGAAGCTGAACAGAAACAGCTGCTTGATTCAGTTTAACAAGCTGCTGCTAGTTTAAGTTACTAGTCTGTTGCACAACACCACCGACGTTTCAGTTCATCCACCAAACTGTGTTTGTGCAACTAATAGAACCTAACAGTGCTTTATAGAAATAAGAAATAATCATTTAAAAAAAGTTATCCATCATTAGTCTCCTTTACCTAATTATTTAATCAATGAAAAAATAAATCCACAAATTAATAAATATGATCAAAAAAAGAAGAATAACAAGAAGCTATGACAGCAATAACAATAATAACAATAATAATAATAGTAAATTAATGTTGGCCTTGAGTATGTTTATTCAAATAATTAAATAAAACTGATTCAAGAATAAACTAAATTTTTTTTTTTTAAAATACAGAAATAAAATCAATTAAGATCCAGACTAAAAAGGTAGGTAGTAATTAAAAAATAGAAATAATGCTAATAATGATCACAATATTAACAATATTATTACTGACAATAACAATAAATAAATAAAACTAATTCAAACCCTAAAAAAAATCGCCTTCAGTTTGTCATTTTATTCAAATGATTGATGAATAAAAATAATAAATAAAATGCACCAAAAACAAGACCAAAAATCTGTCTTGAAAATCACTTTTAAATAAGCCAAATAAATAATTAAAACTCTTAAAATAAAATAAAAATAGTGTAGTCATAATAATAATCAAAATAATGATTAAATAAAATAAATTAAGAGCCAGACTAAAAGGGCAGCTCCTAAGCTAGTTTGTTAAACAACAAAATTGAATAAGAAATTACAAAAAACAAAACAAAAAATAGTAGTAGTAACTATAATAAACATATAGATAAAATCAATGACTAGCCAGGCTAATAAGGTAGCTGTTGAGTTCACTTGTGAACATTTCCCCTCTGTGCTGCCCTCAGGTCTTCAGGAAGGCAGCTACAGACAGGAAGGCGGTTTCATGTCATACTCACCAGCTGTTAAACCTTTTATGAAGACTATAAGGAGGATGGTCAGCAGATAAAACGTCCTCGTCGTCCTCAGACACCTTTTATAACCCATTGTTGTTGTTGTTGACAAGCTAACTGTGTGCTAGCTGCAGCTGCTGCCACTCCTGCCGCCAAACATCCAGGTCCAGTGGAGCCACACTGTGATGAGCAGCACGAATAAACCCACACACACACGACGGACGGAACCTAATTCGCTCCGGATACCAACTCGGTTAATTTTAGCCGCTGTGCCTGTCAAACCAGCTAACGAATTCCAATGCAACGCTAAGCTAGCAGAGTGCAGAGATGACGTACAGCTAACAGGCTAGTTGTGCACACAAAAGACGCAGCAGACGGCGCAGTGTTTGCCCCCCGGCCGCAACTCATCGGTCTTAAACACAACAGTTACCGAGTACAAGAAACGTCCACGTTTAAGGACGAGCGGCCGAAGCTTTAATTTAAATCAGCCACATACTACTTAACGTAGCTACCCATGTTAAGCCCTTACTACTGATCGACACTTCCTATTCTCGGAATTCGACCAATCGCAGCGCGCCGAGTTTGACAGCAGCCAATGAGAAGCGGCCACAGGCGTGTCAGCCAATCGGGTGCGTACACAATTATGCTTCCAGTTGACGGGCTTGTCCACGACACCAAAACAGTGTTCTGAAGGTAATGATGACCTGGGAGGTATCAGGACAGCAGGGACAGCAGCAGACTGCACACTCTAAATTATTTATCAATTTTACAATTTAAAGTTGTAGAAATAATTCTGCACAGATTTAAGAGCTGTAATATGGTGGAACACATTTAAACCTGCTCCTACAAGTCATTTTGTGTGTTTACCACCTGCTTTATCTCTCAGGGTCCTGGGGTTTGTTTTTTCTGTGTTGCATGGCGGTGGTGGAAAAAGTATTTAGATATTTTGCTTCACAAAAGGCTCAAGTAAAGTAAAAATACTCCATTTAAAGAAAGAGTCCTGCATGAAAAAGTCCATTTAAGCAAAAGTACTGAAGTATTAGTAGCAATACGTAATTAAAATATGCAATATGCTCTTAAAACATGTCAGGAGAACGTCCCTACAGCAGCAATGTGGTGGAAGAACTGTTCAGATCCTTTAATGTAAAGGTAAAAACTTTAATGCATTATAAAATTACACCATATTTTGCTGATTTAAATACAGAAAAAAAACTGTAATTCGATATTCAAAATGTTGTCAAAGGGTGGAATGCTATTTTTAAAAATAAAAATTTTGATGGGAAATTCTTTCTTTTAATATATATATATTTTTGAATACAGTTCTGGCCTGTTATTTGCAGTAAACATGCAAAGTTGTTTTGTTTTTTAAAACCTGTAGTTATTATTTCAGTAGTTATTTATAATTTACCAAAACAGGGAAATCTGCAAAATAAAACTAAATCCTTCAAAAAAAAAAATTACAGTTCAAAACTGAAAATAAATAATTTATTAGAGTTTTATTCTGCAGTTGCTTCTCTGCTTATTTTCATGGATTCATGACTTTTGCCTATAATTCATGTAGGAGTGATATTTCTTCTATCAGCCTCTCTGGGGGTTTAAGCTCACCTGCAGAATTCGCTTTAGTTGTGTTTCTGCTGCTTATTTTATTGTGCAAAATAAAATAAAACTAATTATTTTCTTACAAAAGCACTTAGCAGCAAAGCAAAGCACCAGCAGGTGATTGGTAATTAACAACTGCATGTTTATTTACAGACAGTTTTAGTGGTCATTTCACAGGCAGGTACATACAGACATCATCATCTGGAACAAAAAACAAAAAAACATTCACAGTAAACAGCTTAATACAACACAGGGAGTGACAGACTGCTCACAGAAGTCTGGATATTCAGAATAATTCAACAAGTATTACGAGTTAATCCTCTGCAGCTTTCCACAGGAAAAGCATTCATGATTTCTGACTGTTTAAAGCTGAGAGAAGCACAAACACGTGCCGAGAAATATGAAATGAAAATGGAACTTTTGCTAAAGTACTACATCAGCTGATACCTAGATTATAAAGAGACAAAAATCAAAATAACAGATGCCAAAAGTGTTCTTGTCCACATACTTTTGGAACCCGTTATGTGCAAACGTGTCGTATCATAAGGCCATTTATGCAGACAGCAGTTTATGTCGATGGTAAAATAGTTCAACACGTCCTTATTATGATCAGATGTTTGGTACAAAACTCGCTTTAATAGTTTCCCAGTGAACTTACGCACACGCCATTATATATACATATATGTATAAAAACATGTATTCATGTGTCCAGTGGTTCTTTAAAAGATGGAGTCACACATCAACACACTCAAACATCCACAAATACTCATGTACCATAGAACCGGTGATGTCATCATAGCGTGCCCCCAGTGACGGAGTGATCGCAAAAACATCAGTTTTTGCTGGATTCGAAAAAAAAAAAAACCTCCAAAGACTGTTCCTCCGTTATAAAACTCATTAAAATGGCAATTTATTTACCTGTTAGAGTGTTTTACTCAGAAAAATAATAGATAAAAGATTATCTTAGCCAACACATAATTGGACTTTTAATCATCTGTGTGACTGATTTGTGATTTAATGATTGAATGCATCAAACTACACTTTTAATCCCTTTTCTGCACAAACAATAAAGTGATTATCTGCAATAAATCACAGTGAGCGAGTGGTTTTCTTTCATCTGGACAACTCCACTTCAAGCCTATCAAACATGCAGCCCAAAAATTCAGCGTCATTTGAAAGGTTCGTGATCCCAAACTGTAATTTCCCTTTTTTTCCTCCTTATTTGGGAATTCTGGTTATGCATGAACTAGATAGGACATTTTTTTTTTTACCAAAATCATACATTTTCTGGTAGATCTCTGGACTAATCAAACACACACTGGGGATCTGGGGAGTTTGAAGGCTGGGTCGGGCTCTTGGTCGGGTTCCTCGAGCAGTTCCTGAGCAGTGTTTTGAGCATCTCGTTGCCATGGGAGCGTCCGCAGCAGTGTTTAGGTGGATGCTACATGTCACAGTAACATCCACATGAATGCCACAACCTACAGTTTCCCACTAGAGCATTGCAATTTAATGAAATTATTATTTTTTTTTCGTTGGTAGTGGTTCATCCAGAAGCAGCAGAAACCTCTGAGAACCGGGCGACGTCTCCTCCCAGCAGGACACAGTGGTTAAAATCTGTAGCATCCAGCGGGTCGGGATCGTAGAAGCGAGTCTATCGCTGCATGGCTTTGATGACCCACTCCGCTGTAGGATTCAGCTGGAAGAGGTCCTTCATGTAGGTTTCCCCGTCCAGGCATCTCTCCTCTGAGAAACACACAAACTGGGTCAAATACGAAGCGTTTTCATATCCATAATTCATAATGCTGTAGGGTTGCGGCCTTAATACATACCAAGCAGGTCAATTCTGTTTATAAAGCACATTTAAAACAACAGGAGTTGAACCAAAGCGCTGCTCATTTATAAAAACCCATAAGACATAAACACAACGCCTAAAAAGACTAATCTGAATAAAGACACAATAAAATAAAGAAAAATAAAAGATGAAGTCTACTGCTGCTATTTTTGGCATCTCTGAACATCTAAGAGCATCCGACTGGTCGACCTCTAGCTGGGGTGAGTTCTGATAAATAACGAGGCCCCAGGTCATTTAAAACATTGAAAACAAACCATAAAATCATAAAACCAACCAGTGGAGAGAGGACAGTCCTGGTGGTATGAGCTAGAGTTAGAGTTATATTACACATTATAGTACATTAGTGTAATATAGAAGTATTGTATTTTGCTTTCTGGGTGGTTTGAATCCTTCTGATGAAGCTTTAACTTCCCTCTACACCCAGACCCACCGTATAAACTGTATACACTATATATCACACACCTGTTTATGTCTCATCCCAGAACCGCTGCCTTTTTATTCCATCATACGAGCATCAACCTTCCTTCTGTAAACACAGTCGTGAGCAAAAGTTTCCAGACACTTATAGAGACTAATCCTGAGTCTCCAATGACTCCTAGAATTCTGAATTCTCTGTGATGGAAAGACTGAAGCATCCGGATCTCTGTCACTAAAAACAACAAGAACTTTGGTTCTTTTATGGATTTTTTTAAAGGTCTTCTGGAGATAAGATCAAATCTGCTGGGTCAGAAACATATACACACAGCAATTCTAATATTTGGTGATGAGGTTGAAGTCAGTCTAGAACCTTCATTCCAGCCTGATGGAACCATTTCTTCTCCACTCTGATGTGTGTTTGGGCTCATTGTCTGGTTGGAACATCCAACTGTGTCCAAGATCAACCTTCTGCTGATGGTTTGAGGTTTTCCTGAACAACGTGGAGGTGATCCTCCTTCTTATTTATTATTTAATTTACTTTGTGTAAAGCAACAAAACAGCCCCAGAGCATGATGCTGCCACCACCATGCATACGTGTCAATAACTTTGTTCATCGTTCACCAACTGTATCCGCACAAAACTTTGGTTCATGGATGTTTTGCACTAAAGCTCACTTTAAACAGGCTCTTCTACACATATTTATAATTGCACACAGTAGTTTAACCCCAATATTTCAATTTATTGGGTTCATTTTTAAATATTTTTTTAAACCTTTTTAACCTTTATTCCTGGACAGCACTTTGGTGCACCAGCTGTTGTTTTAACCGAGCTGTGACTTGACTACAACGACGGGATTCAGGACGTGGACATCACGTCTGCTGGATTCTGACGGACCTTTGGGCCTGTTTAGCTGATTACAAGCAAAGAATCAGAGCGACTTACTGATGTTTCCACCAATCTCATAGAGACACAACTCTTCTTTCTTCAGCGCCACTGAGCTGCAAGACAGAAAAAAACAGTGAAAAAGACAGAACCAGGTAAAGAGAACACGGCTAGAACGGTGCCACCTGTCTGTCTGCAGTTACCTGTCCTGGCTGATGAAGCGGGTCAACACATCGGCAGCCTGCAGCTCCGCCGTCAGCTGGACCGCCATCGAAACTTTGCTGAACTGCGGCGCCTGGACTCGGATGAATCCCTGCGAATTCTCCTGAACCTAAACCGAGAGCAGAGGAACACGTCGTCCATCACACGGATGTAAACACTTCAGGAAAACTCATCCAGCGCTCAGACACTCCAACAGGACCAGAGAACGTAGACTCGAATAAGTTTCTGCTCTTCTGTTTAATGAGCTCAAGTCATCGTCTGTTAGTGTCGCTGGAGGTCTCAGGTTCATAGAAAAGAAGCATCTTTAACCTTGAAGATACTAAAAATACTGTCTGACTGCACAATAATCAACATAAACCCGTTGAAATGTCCACTCAGAACCACTAGATGTCAGCATTCCTCAACAAACTGAACCTTAAAACCAGATAATACTGTGACTCTCTCTGATTGGTGGAGGCCTGGACTCTAAAGGTGTTCAGTGCTATCAGGTACCGAGACGGAAAAAACACTCAGCAGTATCTTGATTAGATTGAGTTCTGAGGAATTTCAAGGCCGAGTCAACACCTTAAGCTCTTGTTTTTGTTCCTGAAACTCTTCCTGAACACTGCTGGCAGCGTTCCAGAGAGAACCCTGCTGCAGAACCACACCACCACCAGAGAACCCTGCTGCTGTGAAGGCTTGTAGGAGGTCAGCACACATGTTCAGGTGATGTTTCACCACTCTGTCCAGCTCTTCCAGTCGTTTTTTTCATATGGATGCAAAATAAGATTCAGGGCGTCTCAGCCGTCTGCTGCCTTCCCTCCACCACAACCAGCGTCCAGAGTCCAGAGGATCCTGTCCTCAGCTTCAACCTTCCTTCCTTCCTTCTTCTATCCTCTTCTTCCTTTCTTCTTTTATCTCCTTCCTATTTTCCTTCTTCTATCTGCTACCGTCCTTCCTTCCTTCTTCATTTCTCCCTCCTTCCTTCCTCTATCCTCCTAATTCCTTCCTTCCTCTCTGTTTATCTTCTGCCTTCCTTTTTCATCGTCTTCCTTCCTTCCTTCTATCTCCTTCCTTCCTTCTTCTATCTGATTCTTTCTTTTCTTCCTTCCTCCCTCTTCTACATATTCCATTTTCCTTCTTCTATCTTCTTCCTTCCTCCCTTCCTTTCTTCTTTCTATCGTCTACCTTCCTTCTTCTATCCACTTCCTTCCTTTCTTCCTTCTTTTCTTCCTTCTCTCTATCTTCTATCTCCTCCTCATCGTCCCCTGACTGAAACAGGTGATTCACACTTTGTGGTATCTTTTTACTACATCACTGCAGTTATCTTGTTCTTTAACTACATCTCTTTGTTTTTGGCATGTTTTGTTGTGAAGCCGTCGTCATGTGTTCTTTTACTGGTGCTGCTGATTCCAGAAGCTGCTAAAAAGCCTTTTATTGTTATATAACAATGACAGTAAACATGTGTTCTATTCTTTAGACTCTTTTATCTTTAATGTACAGACACTCTCAGTGAACTTCACACTAACTCTTGGTAACCACCTGGTTTAGTTTGTTTTCTTTACTCAGGTTTGGAGGCTTTGTTTTAATTTTTGGTTTCTTTCAGGAAAGGTGAGCTGAACCTCCTGCACTAACAGTCCTTCTATGGTTGTGTTTATTTCAGCACTTGGCAGCAGAAGAGAGAAAAACTCCCTGTTTAGAGAAACACACACTTCAAACAGAACCGGGCTCAGGGAGGACGGCTGGACTAAATCAAACATCTCCTCCCGTTTCCCTCACAGCTCGCCTCACATCGTTTGCTGGACTTCCACAGTTCCTCTGTAGTAAATATCTTTTCTTCACCACAAACACCTGCTTCTACGTCACCTGTCAGCGGTTTCTATGTCGTCTTCCTGTTTCTGTTTCGCTATAATTCGTCCCTCAGCAGCTGTTTACTGGTGATCTGTGAGTTCAAGTTCCACCGTGAAAGTGTGTAAAAGTGCATTAAAGTTATCCAGCGAATCACAACACGACGAGGACATGAAGGAAAAGCTTCTGTTCTCTGTCTGTCAGCAGGATTTAAACTGATTAAAAGCTCATTTAATCACTGCAGCTTCTGCACATTGTTCCAGATTAAAGCCTCGACGGTGTTAATGTGATGAAATCAGACGGTGATAATAATAATAATAATGTTGGAACCTCGTATGAAGTCACATTTATAAGAAGACCTAAAGGCTGTCAGCTGTGTCACAAGATTTATCTATTATTATTATTATTTTATTTTTTTGTTTTAGATTTTAAATTTTTCATTGTTCATTTTATTCTCTTTTCTCTTTATTTATTCACTTATTTATGTATGTATCTTACTTATTTACATTTCCTACTATTATTATTATAATTTAATGTGTTTGTGGCTTGAACCTCTAGTTTTCTTTTATTCCACTTACTTACATTTTATTATTTCATCGGCTGCTGTAATTTATTTTGGAAATCCTGACCAGCCTTCTGTTGTTCAATGTTCTTCCTCAGGTTCCTTCTTTTATTTATCTTCCTGCCTGTAAAGAACTTCATATACTCTGCTTTTAAAAGGTGCCACATAAATAAAACTATTAGTAATCTACATATAAGATATTCTGTCATTATTACATATTATTATGTTGTTCCTTATGTGCGTTTTATACCAGAATTAATAATAGATTTGGTTTGCACAGACTACATCTGTAATAGATTTTATGTTCAATGTTAAATGATATCCATATTGATTAGCTCAGAGTTTTCTTAAAAAAACGCCACTGAGCGCCACAAAAGCAGGAAACTCGGTACCTCAGGAGTTGTTCTCTCAGGCGGCTTCTCGATGGCCATCTTCTTCAGCAGCTTCCGCACCGCTCGCTCCTTGTTCTGTTTCCTCTGACTCTCCATGTTCTGCTGTCTGACCTGGGTCACGATGAACTTCGGGATCTAAAGGAGAGAAAAAAACAAAAACATTTTCACACGCCGGACCGAGCCGAGCAGCTCCTTCTAACCACCGAGAGACACTGTTCATCTGAAACCATCAGCTTCCTCCTGCTCAGCCTTCTCCAGTTTGTTGGAAACTTTATTTTCTATTCAAAATGGAATCTGTGAAATTTTAGATTATCACATGAAATAGTTTGTTGATCCAGCAAAAGCTAAAAACTCGACACACGTACCGTCCACAGGAGGTTCTGGTACCGGATGAGCAGCCGAACGATGCTGGCCGTGCTGGTCGCCATGGAGAACTCCTGCTGCTCCGTGACTTTGGACCGGAAGCCTTTGAACATGAAGATGTTGGGCGCCATGACGACGGAGACGTTGTTCAGAGTCATTTTGTTCTTGGCCTGGTGGTCGATGACGCGCTGGATGAACTCCACCAGCGCCTGCAGGACGGGACATTTAACTTAAAATAAAAAACTTTCTTATTAAAGTGAAGCTACAGCCTACAGCAGTGAGCGAGCTCCTACCTTCAGAGTGTCCCGGTTGGCTTCAGGCAGCAGCAGAACCAGCAGGTTCAGAGCCTGCAGCTGCTGCTTCTTGGTGGGAAGTTCTGTGGACAAAAGAAAGAGGCTCAGCTCATCGCCCCAGAACCCCACGGCTCCGCGGACGCAACGGAAACTTACTGTTGACGGCGATGAAGGCGTTGAGGTACTCGACGGTCAGCAGCGGGTGAGGAAGCTCCCTGATGAACAGCTTCAGCAGACTGGCAGCATCGTGCTGCTTCAGCTGCTGCCATGAAAACGTCCCGTCGTAGAAGGACGACTCGAGCTCCTGGCACAGAGACTGGGTTCAGAAAGAGAGGAAACACACACAGTCAGTTCACAGTAATGCAATACTGGATGGATGGATGGATGGATGGATGGATGGATGGATGGATGGATGGATGGATGGATGGATGGATAGATAAAAATAAAATCAAAATTTTAAAAAATTCAATAATTAAAATTAAATGTCTATTCTTAAAAGATAGATTTAAATAAAGTTAAATTAAAAATAAACAAAAATAAAAAATAAACACAAATTCAACTTAAAATTTAAAAATGTAAATAAAATAAACAAATAAATAAATAATAATTAAATATCTATTGTTAAAAGATAAATATAACTTTAATAAAATAAAGCAAAATAAAAAGGGAGCGTCTCAGTGAAGTATTTCCACCCACCTTGACTCTGGTTGCAGCTCCAGGGATCCTCAGCAGCCCCTCAGTGTCCAGACCCTCCTCCTCGATGTGACTGATGAGCTGACGAGGAGACAAACAGGCTAACGTGAAGCACAACCACGAGGACAAAGTGTGAAGTTCTCAGGTTAACGAGAAACGCCAGCTCAGCGGTGTGTGGAACATAAACTATGAGACGACTGGGATTAGGTTTAATCACTTTACTGATCCCTGAGGGGAAATTTAAACAGTAGAAAAAATATATATAAGATGATTATAAGTGGAGAAATATGTCCTAAAAATATACACAAAAGTAGGAAAGTACAAGCATAAGATGTAAAGATGTACATCACACTTGGAAAATAATAATTTAAAAAAATTAATAATAGAGTAGATACATTAAATACTATATATTAAAAAAAAAAACTAAACTAATTAACATACTATAACATACTGTGCACATAATCATAATGTGTCACTATTTTTGTGGAACTATTTTTGTGCGACTCTTCTATATTTCGCAGCACAGCACAAAACCTGAAACGCACAACCTCCACATATTCTCTTCATGTCGCACAGCTTTGTGAGCTGATTTACGGGTAAATAAATTCTGTACATTATCATGAAATCTGCTAATTTAAGATCAGAGATCACAAAAGCAGCTGTTGTTTGCCAAACGCTAAAAAAAAAAAAACTCAAAGAAGAAGAAACAACAAGTCGTGCTCGTCCAACTACGAAAGCAAAACGAGAAAGATCTTCAGACATTTAGTTCAGTTCTGATTATTAAATGATGCTACTGGACATGTTTGACGATCAGAACTTGTTCAGAGAAGCTGTTTCCATCTTCCATGAAGGACAAGAACTGTAGGAAAACCTCCTGAAGCAACCTGAAAGCTTTGATGTACAACTGAACATGTTTTCTTTCATGTTGTCTCTATGAACCGTTTCTACAACTCCACCATGCCAACCCGGTCAGCACTCACCCTCTGCAGGATTAATGGCACTTTGGTCCCAGCCAGCCTCCTCTGGTCCTGATCCAGTAAAGTCTGCAGCGGAACGCCGAACAGACCCGATTCTGCAAACAGAAGAACCCAGAGTCAAACAGAACCACCTCCACACTGATGTTTGTTGTTCTTACTTTAGCTTTAGCTTCTCTTTGTGACCCAGTTCTGTTTGGTTCTGCCCTGAACGTGTTGGTATTTTGTGAGTTTGCACCTTTAGTCTTCACTTTGACGGCCTTGTGCGCCTTCAGGTCGATGCCGGCCGTGTCCAGCAGCGCCGTCATCTCCACCAGCACCAGCCTGCGCACCTGCAGCGCCACAAAACCGTTACACAGGGCGGGTTTCAAACGGGCTCAACCGACCTGTTTGTCGGCTTATCGTTAAATAAACTGACCTTTTTCATATCCAGAGGAGACAGATCTCCGATCCTGGTCTGACCTGTTTTGTCTCGAAGTAGCTTGAAGTTCTGGAGAGGAGGAACAAACCAGAGGAGGGGTGTCAAAACACAGCATAAAGGACTAAATACTGAGCAAATTCAACTTTCTCTGCAGTTTAATTCAACTGTGTGCAGCGGGACGGTGAAGTCGTTGCATTGTGTGAGAAGTGGAAGCGATATGAGCTTCCACCACCAGGTGTCGCTGCAGAGCAACTCAGTTTATATCCTATATCTGTGCAGCACATTATTAATATCTTTAGCTTAATGTGACTTTTCTGTCTCTGTGGAGGGCTGATATGAGAACCAGACAGACACACTGTGATCTCTAGTTTCTAATAAGTTTTCTATTCTGCAGCTGTTTTCTTATTTTATTGGTATTTTTCACAATGATTTTAATCATCTCTGTGCGTCTGTGCTTATTTAAAGTCTTTATCATTCCTTTTTGTCAACATTTGTTTTTTCAGAAGCCCATTTTAGTTCTTGCCTATTCAAAAACCTTTAACACATGCTGTATATCAGTAAAAATAGCTGCTAAAACACAACCTAGAAGCACAACATCCTGACACAAGCTGCATCCTTTAAACATCTGTACTGCATCCCAGGGCTGCAGCTACTTATTATTTAAATTCTCGATTAATTTATGACTAATTTTGTCAATAAAATGTTCAGAAAATGGTGAAAAATGTCAGATCAGTGTTCCCCGAAGCTCCAGATATTCAGTTTACTGCCACAGAGAAGAAAAGAAACCAGAAAACATTCACATTTAAGAAGCTGCAATCACAAAATTTAAATTTTTTCCCCCTTAATTTATTAATTTGCGCCGAAAACTGAAAGATAATAAATGCATGATCTCTTAATAAATCTGATTTTCAAAACTTGTGACTCAAGCAAGACAAACATCTCGTTAAACCTCAAAGTGACCAGAAAACAGGAAGAACATGTGATTCGGAGCAGGTTGTTGTGGCTGTGCTGCCGTACGGGCGTCAAACTCATCGTTCGCTGCAACAATTTGTTCTTTTTCTGCATCCGTTTATGGAGGAGACGTCTTTGTTTACATCAATAAAATTGACCTTCGCCTTATTTATGCAAAGGAAAACACTGAATCCAGGCACTGAGAGATCATCATAAGCCTCGGACGTTCTGCAATGAACAAATATTTATCTCCTCGAGTTCAAGTTTTTATATGTTCACATTATCAAACGCATGAGCAGGCAGGATTCACTCCTCTGCCCTCTTATGTGTCTGCTTTTTGTGGGGAATTAATGTTCTTAAACATTCATGTGGCACCTTTAGCATCAAGAAGAATTTAGGAGCTCAGATGTGTTTTTTTTTTCTCATGTTCAAAACTTCTAGAAACGCACAAATATTTGTCTGACGAGCAAACAGCTGCTGAGTCGTTGCTGCATCTACGTGACGACACTACGGCGTTTTGTTTGATTAATCCACTCTTCTTTTTTGGCTGTTTATATCGGAGAAGACAAACGAACAAGAGAACAACTCCAACCTGCTCTGAATAAACACGACGATCTATAAATCAGTGCGTCCAGTTCCTTCACCCGGAAACACACACAGTAAAGCCGACACACTGCCGAGGAAGTGATTTGTGTGCAGGTGTGTGACTCACCGGCAGCTTGTCGTCAGGTGAGCTGAGGCTGGCCGTGACCTTGGACCTCTGCTGGTGCTCCCGGTAGGACAGCGCCTGCTCGGAAAACGCCACCTCGACGTTCAGCTCCGTCTCCGTCTCTGTGACGAACAGACACGAAGCAGGATGGAGGTGTTTATACGCCGTAAGTGGACGAGAACACACAAAGAGACGCACAATAAAACAGTTCAATGAGCTGCTGTGTGAGTCGCTGCAGGAGGAAGACAAAGTAAAAGCAGCTCTACTGACTGTTCTGCTGCACAATAAACTACTTTCTAGAGTAACTGATGAGTCATTCGGTTGCTAAAATGTCAGAAAATGGTGAAAAATATCCAAAAGTGAAATATATAATACATATTTAGCTTCCTGTCATAGAAGAGCAAAGAAAACTGGAGGCTAGGATCTAAAGTTTTGGACTTTTTCCCCTTAAAACAATCACTCAAACCACTAAACCCAATATTAAAAGAATTTAATTTAACAGTTCACAATGAAGTGATGCAGTTCTAATGTTCTACATTGGTATCACAGTGTAAATAACCTCAAATTCACATTCAAGAAGCTACAATCTGAAGCTTTTTTCTGAATTTATCTCCTAAATAGGTTACACTAATTAAATAGCTGATTATCCAGTGCAGCTCTGACGCACATTTATAAACTTTAATTGACTTTCCACTCATTTTAAAGTCACGCACGATAAAGAAAAATCATAATAAATGTTTAACTCAGTAGCTATGAATTATTCTCATGATATTAAATTAATTTAGCGACCACGAACAGGACTTTGTATGAAATTTAGTGGCTGTTAAAGTGTTGTCGTGTTACTTCCTGCATCACACTGGCATTCGTGCATCATGTTTTCTGTTCTGTTATCGTCGACACGTGTGCCTCTGAGTTGCTAAGCAGACTTTTATTTGTGTCTTGGGTGCTCAGCGCTGACTCATGCCGCTGGTCGTGTTGCGCATACCGGCTGGAGATGAGTCCTTCTGTCCGTTCTCGCTTCCCCCTTTGAGTCTGCGAGGCTCCTCGTTCTGCAGCAAACAGCAGAAAACAACTGTACAGCGAGTGTTGTTCAGCCCGTCACAGATTCACTGAAGCCTCGTTACACATTATCTCGTCTGTCAATTAGTGGCGGGAGTGTGTGGAAGGTGAAAAACACGTGAGACGCTTTGTTTAGGCGACCTGGACGAGCAACAGTTCGCTTAAATCTGCTCAAGCAATAAAATTAAACTCTCATATTTGTCATTTATCGAATATAAATCCAGTAACACGTATTAAAGGAACTTTATTTAGCAGTTATGGTGGTGAGTTAGTAGCAGCCAGACTGTTCCTGAGGATAAACTGCAAACGCTTCCTTTGTGGGGAGTGAAAAAGGAAACGTTCTTATTGTTGTGGGAAGTTCAGCTACAGAAAAAAAAGAGAACAGACATGAAAGATCGAAGTCCTTCTGATGTCCAACGTAACTGCTCACTGAGGTTCTGTGACAGACTTTACATGAAAGTAATAAAAGTGTTGATAAAGATAGTAATATTACTATAAAAAACAAATGAATCAATACCACTGTCATGCCTGCCTGGTAAAATTAAGGCTGTAATCAGCAGCTAAGCGAAGTGAAACAGTCTGGCAACCTGAATGTGATGACAAGACTCTGGTTGAATCAGAAAGTTCCAGGACTTTGCCTGAAACTGAATAATAGTTAGCGATGCCCGGCTCCCACTGCTCCAGCAACAAACTGAACTTTGGTGGCCGTCAACACAATGTGCCCATGTTCTTCTTCTTCTCTCGGTTTCGGCTGGCGGCTGGCAAACCAGCCTAAAGGCGCGTTACCAGGTCACTAGGTGGTTTTTTCATGATTCTGGACTTGAAGCTCTGATCAATTCTCTGATAAATTCCTACACTTTGGATAAAAATGTTGGATCCTGTACGCATCACTTCCTTGGTGCTACTCTTTCGTGTTGGTTCGATGTCATTATTTTGTGGTCACGATGTCTCCTGACCTTTTCCGGGGGTCTGAATATGTCCCGAACATCCGGGAGGTGTTGCCGGTTGCGTCGCCGTAGCGTCTGCTGGACGCGGCGTTCCACGGCCGCCGCCTGAGTCCTGGTGAGCGTCGACAGAAACACTGCGCTGTCTACTTCCTGCAATCAATCAATCAATCAGACAACAAACCAGATTGAGTTCATTAGGCACATCATTATTTCTCCATTAATCACAAACGATCTGACCTGGAGACATGAACCTGATAAGCTACGACTCAACCTGGACTCAATAATTAAAGGAGGGATCAATGATGGACACCTGATCCTGGTCGGCCGCCAACGAGTCGTCAAACAGCCGCTGTAGCCCCGCCTCCGTGAGCCACGCCTCCTCCTGCTCGCCCTCTGGAAGACACAAAAAGAGGAAGACGATGGACACTCGGACGATGTGTCAGCGGCACAAAACGAGGAAGGAGGTGATGGAGAGCAATCTAAACTCACATTTGTTCTCATGCAAAACACTTTAAAACGAATCCACAGGTGCAGGAAAGGGAAAAGGAGGGACAGAAGTGGACACATCTCACACAGGAAAAGTGTGTTTACGCCAAAGAACAATAGTCTTCAGGCTAAATCCAAGTGACAGAGACAACATTCCTCATGAGCACAGCCACTCAGAGCCAGTCCACACAGGTCTGAGATAACAGCGGTGTCTTACATGTCTGAACGGATCTCTAAATATGTGGCATCAAACGTCTTTACAAAGAGACACGAGCAGATCAGAATGAACTCTGAAGCGGAGGTGGACTCGTGCAGTTTGATGTTCGCTGCTAGAGAAGACCTCCTGCGGTGTTTCCTGTGGCGGACCTCAGTGGTTTCCTTCAGCAGCTGAAGGTTTCTCTGATGTGACACCAAAGCGGCTGCAGATCAAAACCGCTGCAGCTGTATTCAGTCTGGTTTTACTGTGAGGCTGCTTCTAGATGAAGATCTGGACTTTTCAGACGGGCGCCGTCACCTTCGCCTGTTTTCATAAGTCGGTTCATGTGTCAAAGTCGAGGGGGTTCGTGTCCAAGTGGGCCGAACCATATTTACGAGTTTTAGAGAAAAAATGGGGTCAAAACTTTGAGGTTGGAGGTATGCATCCAAAGACACTGTCCAGAGGTAGAAACAACTGGTTGGTAAGTTTAAATCTTGTCTCTCCTTTTGCTGCGTGCCAAAGCGGGCCACAGCTGATTCAAAGTTTGTCTTCCTAAACAGCATTGAAGAACTTCCATCATAAGGATCTGGAGATACTTCTGAGGACCACGGGGTAGAAACAGACACCTGGTACCTGCTGGTTCCTGCTGCGAATTTGACAAAACGATGCAACTTTCCAAACATCTGGTTATGAAGCATCTATTAAGTGGTTGGAAAACATATATATATAAGTGATTGTGGTCTTGATGGGAGCAGTTCAGGAGGTTCAAACCAAACCTGCAAACCTCTCACGTGACAGGATAATCTGAGCCCAACATCAGTTCAGATCTCAGACCAGATTTCTCCTCAGAAAAAGGGTTCAAATCTGCACAAATCTCCTGCAGGGTGATACGTAGAAAACTCTAAATAAAGACTGACAGCGGCAGATGTAATTAAAGTGGTTCATTTCTATACTTTCTGCAGCAGGTTGTTACTCAGCACTCTGACGCAAGAGCTTTGTTCAACTATCACATTAAAATGTAAAGATTGGCTTGTCTGAGCTTTATTTTATTATTTTTTTACCACAACAAGATTCTAATGATGAAATAAAAGCTAAAGCAACAGAGATTCGTTGCCATCTTCCTATGAACTGGCGCCCTGATTGGCTAAATCCAAGGACACGTGATGCTGCTGGATGTTATTTAAGATGCAAACACACTTTTTCTGCAAGAGAAATGTACATTTTAAGAGTCTAGACCAAACGACAGAAGCTTTAACGACAGGATTCGGTGCGTTTCCTACCTTCAGGAGTTTTCTGCTGCTCCTCCTCTTGAACCTCTCCGTCTCCCCTCGCTGCTCCTCCTCCAGACCGGGTGATGTTCTCCACCTCCTTCCAGTAGTCGTCCATCTCCAGCTCGTCCAGAGAGTCCTGACACAAGTGCAGACGCTTTTCAGTTCCTGCTTCATGTCTAGTTTCTGCCCTGAAATCTGATTAACTTGTGCTAGAAAAAAAAAAAACATCTATAAAAAAAAAAAAAAAAAAAAAAGCTCCAGATATGATGCGAAGAGACGACAACAAACAGGTCTGAACACGTCTGGACGGTGGTTGTTACTCAGATTACACACATGATAAACACAGAAAGATGCAGACTTTTTAACAGACCACAAACTTTGAAAGCAGGATCTGAGACTCCAAACTGTTTCAGGGGAACCTCAACGAATGGAAGTGAAAAATATGACATTAAAATATAAAGAAGACCAGAGAACAGCCTAAATATGTGATCCAGGTAAAGAGATGTAGTAGTTTGGGGGGATTTTTACTATTTTTCCCTCTTTCCCACCATCAGAGAGTAACACACACCTCAGAACAGACTTTTTAAAATGCATTTTGTCATCTTAAATCACGTCAAACTGTAATATTGGGCTTCTTTGGCTCAGCTGTTGAGTATCTATGGGATTAAACATAATCATGATCCTACAGGCATCCAGGTGTTTTGGGTTAAATGACCAGACTTCTATCTAAATAAATTGGAGAGAGTCATAACTGAAAGATAAATTGTCACTGGGTGGTAAAAACTACATTTAAAAATCAAATAAGATTTTAAAAATACACTTCAACAGTTTGGTGATTTGAGCAAAATAAGGTCTAAGAGCAACAACACAAAGCTAATAATAGATAATCGGCTTTTTGGGGACTTTTGTTTATATAAATGGAAAGTTTTTCCCTTCATAATAAAGCCCAATATGAAGATTTTATAAACCGCTGTTACAGACCAGTTCTAATTCAACCAAAATAGAACATTAGGTTGTTTTTTCCAAAGTCAGATTTGGTTATTAGTCATGAAGGAGACTGATAACTGACATGTGGAACTGATAAACAATCGCAGTAAAAAGTTAAATCTTTCCATCCAAATGTAGAATTACACAAAGTCAAACAGAAAAAATAAAGTGATGAAATGCTTTTGTTTGTTTATGTTTGACATGTTTACTGACAAGCAAAAGAGGATGTTTCTAAATTAATTTATTGGAAAAATTAAATAACCTCTTTGCACCAAACCATCCCAGTTAAACTGCTGAATATTAAAGAATCTCTTTCTCATCCCGTCCTCCGGGCCCACCTGAGAGTTGTAGCGCTGGTACGGGGGTCGGGGTCTGGGCCTGGAGTTGGGACTCTGTCGGGGGCTGGAGCCCTGCTTCGGGCTGGAGGAGAGCTGGGTTCTGGGTATAGGTGCTGAGCTGGAACTGGACAGCGCCGACGGATCCGAGGGTCCATATCTGTCTCCATGCTGGGGGTTCTGGTTCTGCTGCACAGTGTAGTGGCCGGTTCTGCGACTGGAGACAAACACATGTAACCAGAAGTTTACACACA